TGCAGGCCAGGATAAATTGCTTAGTATAATCACATCAGTTTACAAAAATCAAAGGAAATCCAGGTTTCTGTGCAACTTTTACATCAAGCTAAGGTACATGTGGGCGGATGTTTACGTTACAGATGAGAATGCTTTACATGTAGGTGTTTTATACAGCATTTACTATTTTATTCAGACCCATTAGAACTGTTTCTAATGACCTCCTGCCACTACTCTAAATAGTCATCAGGGGCAACCTCTCTCATAGATGGCGTTTGTACATCTCCGGGCTTGAAAATGTCTTCAAAGACAGTTAATCATGATTACTAGATTTTTACACTCTAGTTCCCTCTAAATTGGATGCAAAGTCTTTCTTGTGAGTTGGTTTGTCTTCCTCATTTATTAACACATCTCTTTATTTTTTGGCTGTTTCTTCAAGCCAAATTTACCTCAAAAGTTCAAGAATTGCCATAACTGACGAATTAATGCAGTGGGCAACAAGTTCTATAGCTAGTTTCTTAATAATAGTCGTAAAAATCTTTTGTAAGATGGCAGTGTCATGGGCATTAGGGTATGATTGTCTGTAGTAATTTTTAAGCTTGTTGAGGTCATATGAAAATACTATGGAAGGTATTTCCTCCCAGAAAAATGAACATATGAATGAATATATGCACACAGTTTTTCATATCATTTCTAAAGGGCTTGTGGACCTATAGAGTCTATTCCGAGGTCCCCTCAGATTAAGCAGTTTTGTGCTAAGGGAATGTACTTAGAAAGAAATAGCATTTATTTTTATTTATAGTTTAGATGTGTTTATTAAAAATTCAATAGTTTCGTCATTTACCATCACAGCTTAAACCTATACATGTACTATTCTGTGTAGATGTATAATTGACTACATTAAAAATAACCTACATTTTGGCCCTAGCTGGTTTGGCTCAGTGGATAACATGTTGGCCTGAGGACTGAAGGGTCCTGGGTTCAATTCCAGTCAAGGGCACATGCCCAGATTGTGGTCAATCCCCAGTAGGGGGCATGAAGGAGGCAGTCAATCAATGATTCTCTCATCACTGATGTTTCTATCTTTCTCTCCTTCTCCCTCTCTGAAATCAATAAAAATAAAAACTAAAAACCTACATTTTGGAATTTATGTGTGTGTGTTTTTTTAAGTTTTAATCTAGTTTAAATTTTCTTTTGAACTCTTTTCAACTTTGTAAATGAGGATTTTTAAAAAATGTATGAAAGCTTTTTTGTTTTTTTCATCTTGAAAGACAGCCTAGCTTAAGAACTTTGGCTTGAATATTCAACTTAATATTGCATTTGAAAAAAATCTCTAATAGGATATTGGTCTTAAAGACTTTGAAACTTAGAATCTACATATACATTTAATTCCAGTTCTCTGCTATTAAAATAACATAGACTGAGTCTCAGAATTAGTTAATAACTCTTACTTTTTAAAAACATTGCCAGATGGTAATTTCTGGAATCAAAATGTGGAAGGAAATAATAATTTAAAAAAAAACCTTATAGACACAGACGACAGCATGGTGATTACCAGAGGGAAAGAAGGTGGGAGAAAGTAAAAGAGGGTAAGGAGGCCATAAGTAATGATAGAAGGAGACTTAACTTGAGGTGGTGAACACACAATATAATAAACAGATGATGTATTATAGAATTTAACACTTAAAAACTATATAATTGTATTAACCAATGTCATCCCAATAAATTCAATACAAATAAAAATTGAAAAATGTGAATCCAAGGTGATGCAAGAATTTAGTATATACAAATACATTTTCCATGGTCATTAATAGAACTTACATAGAAATCATAAGCCCTTTTAGTGACCATGGATACTGCATATATGTTCATTCTTTGTCATTATGAATACTAATTTTGTATATACATGTACAGTGCAGCTTTAATCACCTCCTAAGCAAAAAAGTCCCACTGTTGTTTCAAACCTGCAAGCAAGCGTGATGTAATGGGGCTCCTGATTTAAAACATTGAGGATCTAAATTTAAGCTGGAGTTTATGACACTGGAAATGAATTCAAATAGCCTTTTTACTAGAGGAACCATAGTGGTAACAATCTACCATAGACACCCGGTTAGCTGTGGATTCTGTCATGAGCTTATGCTTGCTACCCTGCTTTGTTGCTGTACATACAGCATGTGTGTGTGTGTGTGTGTGGAAACATTTTTGGAGAATAGGCTCACATACAAGACAAAATGAACGTGGAGTCATGTTGATATGAATGAAATCCTTAACATTACTTAAAGGTATATATTTCTATACACATAGAATATACTCCAATGTCATATTTCTATGATGCATAGTCTTTCATATAATTTATTTCTGAAACTAGAATAGCTTCTTAGAATTGATAGTGTATTATAGTTCATTTGGTTGAATTTTTTTCTAATGCTACACACAAAAAATATTGCAAATAACGATGGACTCTTGGATTCAATAAATTACATTGTATAGATTAGAGCACATAAGGTCAGAGGTGCCTTAGCAATGTTACAGCAATTCCTTAAGGGAATTGAAATTTAAGGGTCAATTCATGTGTTAAAGACACAGATTTTGGTGACAAAACAGGTACAGTCTATTGATTAGCTTTTTAAATACTTTCACCTATCATATGTGAATCATTAGATCATAAATTTGTAAAATCAATGTAAACCACTTTTTAAGACATTTCTTTTGTAATATTTGATTTATGTAAATATTCATGTAAATTAAAAAGCATAATGAATTAATGAGAATAAATGAACAAATTTTAACTATGAGCAAAATGTACACAAGATTATAATGTTGAATGATATAAATCATATTTTATAAATAAATCTAAAACACTTTCAAAACTAAAATTTAGCCTAATCCATCTAGTACCTTTTTCAGTTGTTCATTTTCAGTGCTAATGTAAAAAAAAAAAGTATTCAAAGGCTATTTTTTAAACCACATGTTAGATTCAAAATTAAGAAGGCATATTTTAATGGCAGCTGGTTTAAAACAATTTGACATGAGCGCAGTAACAGTTTGGAAAATGTGTCTATGCTTAGTTTTGCTTCCAAATTTGGACTTTGAAAGTTTTTGTCAGTCTCAGAAATAAATAAGAAGCTGTGCAGATAATTAAACATTTGCCTTGAGGGATTTATCTGCAGTTAATTAAAACCATACACTTTGGGTGGATACTTGCTTCACTGGTTATTAAATTTGAATCATATGTTAACTACCCAGTTTTCTCACTTGTCCATCAAATGTTGCTTGTGGTAGGTTCAAGAAACAAATTTTCTCATAATATTCCAAGCAGAGTTGTTTAAAGCTAGCTCCTAGTATGGAGAGAGATAGAGAAAAGAGGGAAAGGAAAACCAAAAAATAAAATGATTTATTTTAGATTCCACATAAATCAGCTCTGTTAGCGCTGAGCAATCTGAGCTCAGGAGAGACCCCCTTTGTAAGTTATAGAGGTGCCATTCTACCATCCCCAGATTTCTTCATGGCCCTGTGCATACAAGATTAACTCATGATTTTCTGTCTATATCTTTGGATTACTACCCTTTTAGCTGCATGGAAAATATCCAATAGACTGTACCCTCTGTGAGGGCAGAAATTTGGTATTGTGTTTACTGTAGACTCCCTGGAATCAAGAACAGTGTCTGGCATAGAATTGGCCCTTAATAAAGACTTGTAGAATAAGTGAAAGATCTATTTTCTATTTCCCTGCTGAACTACTCACGTGTTTTTTATGGTGGTTTTTTAAGGTGCCTCCAGAGAGTTCTCAAACATCTAATAGGGGACACTTTCTAGCTTTGCAAGAGTCCGCAGTCATTGGAAACCTTTTAGCCATCGTCAAGTATATCATACTAAAGGCCTGATGCACGAAATATGTGCATGGCTTTGGTCCCTAGGCCTGGCCGGCGATCGAAATGTGAGCATCTGGAAGGGAAGGGCAGGTCCCAGCTGACCTCTGGGTCCTGGGCAGCACCTGGACCCCCAGCCCTTTGTGCACCCTCTTTGGCCTGAGTCATCAGGCCCTCGCCTGGCTCCTTCAGCACCTGGGAGCCAGGTGATGGCCCTGCTCCCTGCCACCACCACTGGTCACTGTCTGTGGGGTGATCGGCAGGGTGATCGGGCCCCGCTTGTACCCACCTTGGCCTAGAGCCGCCCGCTCACTTGCTCTACCGTCCCACCATGGTCCCACTGTCATCGCGGCCCATTGTGGCCTGCAGCGCCTCCACTACCGCCCGTCCCATTGCTAGCACTGTGTCGCCGAAGCCCGCCATGTTCCGTGCCTCCCTCTGGTGGTCAGTGCGCATCATAGGGAGTGGTCAAACTCCTGATCAAACTCGCAGTCAAGGGGACAATTTGCATATTAGGCTTTTATTATATAGGATGGCCAAAAAAGAACTTATGCTGATCTCACATTTAAATGTGCTATGCAGGGGTGAGGATGAAATTGCCCAGAACAGAAGGTTTGCATCTTCCCCCTTTCCCATTGTTCTACTGGTACAGTTCCTGAGAAAGATGAACTTAATTACCACTGGATTTCAAACGTCCGCATTTGGCTTTCTTACTGACTCAAGCCCCCAAATATGAACAACTACAGTAATGGAAGCATTAAGCACATTAAAATTAGACATTCTTTTAATTTCTCTATTTTGCCTTCTTTTCATATTCTTTTGCACAATTCTCCTAAAACTTTCACTGATGTATAAAGCCTGCTTATATTTTCTTCTTTGTTGCAAAAATACATATATATATCCCAACAAACTCTACCATCTTTATTTTGCAAACTTTGTAGAATAAATGAAAGACCTATTTCATTTATTCAGATATATCATGTAGTGTTTTCAGAAAATTGTATTTATAGGTGAAAATATGTAAGTATTTTAATGCTATTTTAAAAATAAGTGCTATCCCGCCAAATATAAATCTATCATATTAGTGCTGGAAGCTGCTCTCTTTTCTGATTAAAAATGCTGACTAGAGGTTTTACTTGTTTGTCGTGTCAGATTCTGCAAAAGATGACAATATTGCAAATGACAGTGAAGTAACAGATCATTCAGTGTGTGACCAAGATCATCCCAATGGTAAGTTATGAGGTCCTCTTTCAAGTTGTTGTTGTTGTTTCTATTGTAGGATATCACATTTTATAAACTCAAATTTTAGTTCTCTGGAAAAAATGGAATCTGGTAGTCTTTTATTAGAGCTGAATACCAGGTGATTAGTAGTGGCTACATTTAGAAGAGGCATTTGCTCTCCATAATCCTCATCACTCATTACTTTTGTACAAGCCTGGCTTTATTTATTTATTTTTACTGCCTGAACTCTATAGGTATTGAGTTTACAACTATTTAAATTAGGATATAATAACAATGAGAATAAATGTGAGACATATAGAAAATAGATCCAGGATACTAGAGCTACATATTCTTGGAATACAAGGAAGAGAGACAGAGAAAACAAAAATGAAAAATAACACAAAAAAGTTTTCCTAAAGCAAACCAGTTCCTCTATCTAAAAGACAAAGGTACATATTATATTTATGGGGAAAGATAATGAAAACACAAAGGAGAACAGAAATCTATAAGGGCTCACAGAATTTATGGAGATCAATGATAAGGAAAAGCTTTTAAAGCAAATAGGAAAGTCAAAAATCAGTTTAAAAAACTAATCAACAAAATCAGATTACCCTTAGCTTTCTTCTTCCATAACTCTAAACAGTAGAAGAAAACGGAATAACATTTCCAGAGCTCCAAATAACACAGTTTCTATATTTAGTGAAATTATTATTCATGCATGAAGTCAAGGGTAATATTTTCTCAGTAATACAAAGATTAAGAAAATATACCACCCAAGTACTCATTCTGAATAAACTAACAGAGGACTGTGCAAAAGCAATAAATATAGAAAGGAAAGAAAACTTCAAGCTTGAGAAAGATAGAGTTAAGAAGGACTGAATGATAAGAGACTCGTTATATATATGAAAATGTTGTAGTGATTGTTTCAAATTAGTATCAAATATCTTATTTAAATGTTTGTTTTTACCTTTTAAAATTATAGTAAGGGCTTTTTATAATTACAAAGATGGAGACACTTTGCTCTTAGTAATAAAATTTTAAATAAATTAGACCATAACTCCATTATTCTCACTGAAGACAACATAGAACAAATATTTGTATATGTCTCAGAGACAGAGAAAGACAGAGACACAGAGAGCAAGAGTCTGATTAAAGGCATCAGAGAGGTTTAAGAGATAGAGCATTGTCTGGCTGGCTTATAGGAGAAAATGGATATCCAGAAATGTGAGTTCAGAATTTGAAACTGTTTTTACCTTAAGGCATTTGCTGATTCTTCAGAAGGTATCTTGAATCACATTGCTCAGAAGTGTAAGGGGCTCTGGTAAATCCCCCGTTTCTTGGGTTGAAACCCCAAAGATATGTACTGTAGCAGAAAAAATGAACCAGCAGATAAGCTTTCTGAAAGACTGCTGACCAGCTTTAAATCATCTCAATCCCTCAATTAAATTAAAACCAACCCAGATTGCTAGTTCCTCTAGCCACCTAAGAAAAGCAAATGTAAAATATTTACTAGATGAAAAAGAGAGTGCTACAAGTTTTAAACAATTTTCATAAGCAATTTGCTAAATATAATATTCAGCACACATATAAGAAATAGCTAGAATAAATGAGAAAACAAAGTAATATGAAAATCAAACAAACAGTCAAGAGTGGCAAGCCACTAGGGCTGAAAATATTAGAGTTATAAACAAATTATAAAACACAAAAGCCATATATAAAGAAAAACAAGATTGAAAAAAATGATCTGAGAACTAGAAATTCAAAACAAAAAAAGAGGAAAAGAAATCTAAAAGTAGAAGATGCCACAACTGAAATGAAGAATTCAATGAATGAATTTGCGGTTTAATAGCATATTTAGATATAGATGAAAGAAAAATTGTGAATGTGAAGTTATGTCACAAAATATATATCTAAAATAAAAACAGTATATCTAAAAAAACATATCCAAAAGAGAAACACAGAGTAGCAAACACTACAGAAAAGGAAAAGACATGGAAGATGAAATGACAGTCTATCACAGAAAATTTGGCAGAAGTAATATTTAAACAAATTCTGGTGAGATTTTTTTTATAGTGTTAAAGGATATCAAGCCATGTGTTTCAAAAGTTCTTTGAACTATAAGCAAAATAAATTCACAACTAGGCCCATCATAGCATAACTATTGAAAATCAAAGATAAACAGAACACACAAAAAGCAATCTTTAAACATTTAGACAGCTGACTTTTCAATAGATATGATGAAAATAAAAAGATGATGCAAGATAAAATTGCTAACCAAGAATTCTAAATCCAGGGAAAATATATATTTTAAGAATAAAGGTTAATTAAGGATGTTTCAGACCAATAAAAGAAAATTTCATCACTGGAGAAATTCTGGTGTTCTTAAGGTAAGATGATACCAATTTCAGTTAGAAGGTCAAAGATGAAGGAAGGAATTAAAAGCAAGGTCAATGGTAATTATTAAATAAGTCTAAATGAATATTGATGGAACAAATCAATAATGATGATTATTATAATAGCAATGTATTGTGGGAGTTAAGATATACTAAAACAGTATAATTGAGATATTAAATTTTAAAAGATATATCACAAATTAAAATACACTACAATAATGGCATGTATTGGGATGAGGTAAATTAATTGTGCTATTTTTCCAGGCACATTGGCATTGTGGAGAATAAAAACACCAATTAACATTAAAATTTAATGTCTCTGTGATAACCTAAGCCAGGAAATGAGGAGAGTCATGTGATGTCCCAGATAAATGCTGGGAGAGACTTCCCAGACCAAAATGCAGAGAGGAGGAACTCAGGCAGAGCTCAACAGACTCCTGAGTTGAGGAGACAGAGCTAAAATTCTTGGAAGGCCAAGGTATCTAGTTATTTTCAGGGCCAAGCACAGAAGAAAGAGCTCCACAGAGGGAACATTTTAGAGATCTACAAAGGGAATCCCTCAAGTCTTTGGCTGAGTACTGATCAGTGCATGCATGATTATAAATTACCAGTGCAAGCATGAGAGGCTGGATAAAGAACACTAAAGGATTTGAGAGAATATCTGAAGTTTCCAGAGGTTCTGGGAGAAATGCCTGTTCCAGCCATACTGGAAAATGTATAAATTCGTGGAGGGCTTAGAAGGACTTTGCCTCAATAGTGGACCAAAACTAGCAATATATTAAGTGCTGCTCTTGTCCTCCCCCAATTCAGCTTAAAAGCAAGATTTAAAAAGTTCAAACTGTTTCTGAATAACTTAACTGATCCTAGAATAAAGCTCAAAAATATGTATAGAAATCTAAATATATCTCATGCCCATCAGAGTAATAGACAAAATGACTGGGTATAAAAAAGCATTACAAGACAAATCTCCATGCATCTCTTCCGTTTTGTATATTTTACAGAGGGTGATTGCCTTTGTTTGGCCAGTCTTTTCCAGGATGGTTGTATAGTGAACAATCTTCAAAGACAGAAAACTGTCTCCCTCTGGAGCGAACAGCAGGCTTGCTTACAGCCTTGGAAGATAAGAATAGTGTACCTCCCCCAAGGGACAGACGTGCTCACTGTCCATTACAAAATAGTCCAATTATCTAAGGTCAAGCGTCCTCTCCATAATACAACCCACCGAGTGTGCAAGTACCACTTGGTCACCCAGTGGGCACTGAGGCTCAGGAAACAAGTGCAAGTAGTCTGGCTACTGCTATTGCTCTGAATAATAAGTTATACTTCATCTCTGGCCTGGGAGTCTGTCTTCTGGCAGCAGCCATGGAATTGTGACTAGCTAACTTATTAAGTGCAAGTGAGGTAAAATTTCAGACCCTTCCCAATTCATGAAAAGAAGCAGAAAATGATGACCAATAGAAGAAGTCAATTGATAGAAACCAATCCAAGTGGCACAAATGGAATAATAATATGAACGGTCGTGTTACAAAAATATTATTATTGTGCAGGTATCCACAACTTCCAAAAGATAAAATAAGGATTTTCCATGTTAACTAGAAACATAGCAAATATAAAAAATATCCAAATGGAATTTCTAGAGATTAAAAACAGTGGCTGAGATGAAAATCATACCTGATAGGAACTGTGGCAGATTAGATACTGCAAAAGAAAAGACTGGTGAATTTGAAGCTGTAGCAATAGAAACTATTCAAATTAAAACAGAATAGCCCAGCCAGTGTGGCTCCTTGGTTGAGCATTGACCTATTAACTAGGAGATCACAGTTCGATTCCAGTCAAGGGGCATGCCTGGGTTGTGGGCTCGATCCCCAAGTGGGGGGCATTGCCAGTAGTTTTGATCTGGCATCTAGAAGGGTTCAGAAATCTAGAGAAGGGCTGTGCATAAATAAGAGTCCAGAGACAAAACATAATTTTGAAAGGCATTATAGGGAGTCAGAGAAGACTTAGCTAAAGGAACTAAGTTCTCCTCATCTCAGGACCCCTTGCTTTTTATTAACACAATTTGTCCTAAGGCAAGGTAGATATATACTTCAAAGGGCAGGGTTTCTTACAGAATCCATTGTCAGATTGGAAGAATTTGCCTACCGCTGTTCAGGTGTTTGGCCAGTAGGAGGCAATAACATAGATTAAGATGCCCTGAGCTGTCTGGCAGCAAGCAAGCAATTTAATATCCTTTTCAGGTTTGGGGAAATGCCCTCAGCCATTCCCAACAGGTGACAACATATGTGACTCAGCCCTTTTTGAGACCCCAAGTTCCATCTACCTTTTGATGAAACTCTTGCAATTATGACATGCTGGAATTGACTTCCGGCAGGGCATGCAGGAGGCAGCCTATCAATGATTCTCTCTCATCATTGATGTTTCTATATCTCTCTCCCTCTCTCTTCCTCTCTTAAATCAATAAAAATATATATTTTTTAAAAAACAGAGAATAAGTGAGGAAAAAGAAAAGGCCCTTGGTGAGCTATGGAACAACTCCAAGGATAATTCCAACTCCAATATACATGAATTAAAATCTCTGAAGACAGACTTGAGAGGAAGAGACAGAAAAAAATATCT